GAATGTAAGTCAATACTAGTAATACTCTCGGCCTATCTAGATCCTAGGATAGGGGTGTTACAATTGTGGTCCCCAAAGATTTCTAATTATTTTATTTATGGACCACAAGCTTTTAATTGTTACGATTACACTCCTATTGTTTTGCAATTACATTCCTAAGCTTATACATAATCATAACTATTAATGTTGTAATCCTCTAATTCACACTATAATTAATTCATTCACCTTTTATAATAATCGTACTTGTATTTAATTTATTCTTAATATAAGTAAAAACTTCCATTTCTCACTTTATCGAAATATTCCTTTATTAATTAAACAAAACATTCTTATAATATATTTACATTTAAGGTGGATTTTGAGTTGGCAATATTACATTCTACCCTCCTTAGAAAAATTCAATCTCGAAATTTCCATCATGATCACTAATATCCTTTAATTGTCATCAATGATTTAACATTAATAGTCCTAAACAATTGACCATTAATGATCCTAAACCTCTATTTATGAATCCTTTAATTCTTGTTCATCTTTATAATGCAACATCCTTTTTCTATCCTCTTCACAAGAGTATGCACTAAATTAGTCTCTTTTGTGTCCTCTCTTCATAACTCAAGAGTATACTTTAGATCGTTGCTTTTATATACCTTTTAGATCTTTCTCTTAATATGTCCTCCTTAAAACATCCAAGGTTATCCACTAGATCATCTCCTTTACACATTAAGAATATTTGCCAGATCATTCTCTTATCATGTCCTCTTTTATTAGCACAAAGAGGTATTCATTAGATCATACCCATTGCATGCCTTGTAAAGAGTTTTCATTAGATCATCCTCTTTGCTAGCCTTTTCCTTGGATACCGACCCTTTAACATACAAAGCCTTGTATGCTTTACTATATTCTCTTTACAACTTTTCCTTTTCTTAAACATGAATGCATTCCTTTCCTTAAACATGAATTCCTTTCCTTATATATAAATCCATTCTTTTACCTTGCATAATGACAATCATGCCAACTTTGCAAAGAGTATCCTATAGATCATTCTCTTTGCACTCATGCCAATCATTTTCACATTAAGTACTTAATACTTTTCTATCATCCTTTACATTTACTGTATCATAACTTACTATTATCTAAATTGTGTCATTAACTATTCCTATCGACTCGCAACATTCCTACTAGAACCCATATTGCTATCATTATTAGCATTCCTTTTGAGTGATATTTTATTCTATCTACACATTTAATCACCTATCACATTACTCTTCCCTCTTTTAAATCTTTATAAATAATTCTTCCATGATTACATTAACATTCAAACATTTTCAATCAAAATATCATTTATACATTATCACACATACACATTATACAAACATACATTTACTAAGCAACACATACCATTCTTACTTGTCACTAAGGCTCGACTTAGGTGTGCTTAATCTGGTCATCCTAACTTAAATCACTAGGATAAAACCTGCTCTAATACCACTTTCTAACTTAAACTAAATTAAACTATGCCTTTTATTTTTTCAAATCTCCTTTAAAATTTTTGATTTTTTAAATAAAAAATAATTATATTCAATATAAAAATAATCAAATTAATTCAATATAATAATTTTCTATTATTTCGACTTCAAAACTAATTTAATTATCATATAATCAATTTAATTAGAAAAAATCACTAGGATAAAACTTACTCTAATACCACTCTTTAACTTTAACTAAATTAAACTATCTTTTATTTTTTCAAATCTCCTTAAAAAAATTTTGATTTTTAAAATAAAAAATAATTATATTCAATATAAAAATAATCAAATTAATTCAATGTAATAATTTTCTATTATTTCAACTTCAAAACTAATTTAATTATCATATAATCAATTTAATTAGAAAAAATTCATTATGTATTAAACCTTCAAAACTTGAATTGATACTATTACCTTCATAAAAACTTTAACTATTAAATGAATTAACCATTTAATTAATGGTTCCTATTAACCTTAGTTAATTCCTTTACTTAATGCAATAACTTCTTTAGCTCAATTTATGTAATCAATAGCCATCTAAATCATCCAATTCCGATAACAACACCATAACTCTAATAATAAAGTCATAAAACCTTACTTATTTAAAGAAAAATTAATCATAAATTAAACATCATAATGTAGGTTTCTAGTGGCATAGTGAGGATTATACTTACCTAACTTAGTTTGATCAATCCTCCTTTTCTCCATGGAATTCTTCCTCCTCCTTCCACCTCTAAGTTTCGACCCAAAGTGAGTTTTTCCCTTCTCCTTAGCTTGACCTTCTAAACGGATTTTAGGACGATTTTAGAGTGTTTTAAGGATGTCTAAGGTGGTTTGGATGTTCGTTTGGTGTTTTTTCATTTTGTTTTGCTTACTCTCTCTTTGGTTCAACCTTGAACATTTAAATTTTCTAAACATGTGATTGGGCCTACTAGAATGGCCAATGGATCAGCCTTCATAAGCTCAAGCCTAAAACTTCAATTCTAGTTGTGGATCAACCTTTTTCAGCCCAAATGCTCGCTTTGACTCCTCTCTAAGCCTATATCCTTGTTGGCTAACCCATTAAGTAGTCCATGTACCCATCAGCCCATTGGATTCATTATTATTCAGCCTCCATGTTCTCATCATTTAGAGACTAAAGTGTAAAATTATGATAATTTGATGGACTAATTAATTGAGTTTGGGAGATTAATTCCAGTAATAATAATCTAGAAAATGGAGAGAAAAGTGAGCAAGTTAGGTTGGCATAAGGAGGAAGAAAGAAGAGGAAAATATCTAGAGAAAAATCAAGGATAAAGGGAAGAAAAGAGAAAAAAGAAGAAAAATCTAGCGAAGCCATTAATTGCCATGGTTTTATATCAAACCAAGTGTGATACGCTTGGCTTAAACTTAAGGAAAACCCTTGGCTATAAATATGATAGAAGAAGATGGAAGAAAGGTTAGAAACTTGAAAAATTCAAGGTTACACCAACGTGAGATCAAGGGAAAACAAGAGAAAAATCACCAAACCAACACCCCAAACCACCCTAGAATCAGTTTAGAAGATCAAGCAAAGGAGGAGGAAAAAACTCAGTTTGAGTCGAAACTTGGAGGTGGAAAGAGGAGGAAGAAATTGAAGGAAAAAAAGGGGGAGGATTGATTAAACTTTAAGTGAGGTAAGTGTAATCCTCACTACACCACAAGAAACCTATATTATGATGTTTAATTATTCTTTAAATAAGTATGATTTTATGACTTTATTATTGGAGTTATGGTGTTGTTGTTGGCATTAGATGATTTAGATATTATAATTATGTTTATGATGTTGGAATTGATGTGTTTAGTTTGTTGATTAGAAGGGAAATGTGAACTTTGTTAGTGTTTTTGTTTTAGAACAAGATGGCTTAAAACCCTAGATTATGAGAAAATTTATGGTTTAGGTGCTCAATGTATATAAAGAGTTTGATGAAATGATTTACGTGTCTTTTGTGGTATTGAATTAGAAAATTTATGTTTTGGCATTTTGATGAGTAATTCGGCCTAGAGTAAATGATGGACATCAAGGTGGTTCAACAAACCAAAATGACCCATTAGCCAATTTTAGAGGACCCATGACCGTGGCTAAGGCTAAGAAGGTCAAAGAAGCTTTGTCAAGCTTCGCATAAGTCATTAGCTCAAGGGTAGTTCATGGAAAAGCATTTATGGTTCATGATGGTCCAGCCATGGTCAACATGGTTCAAGTAATACCAACCAAGTTGAAGTAACATGAAAATAAAGGGCTTAAAAGAATTCAGCCTTGTTTTGAACTTCTTAGGTCTTATTTATATGGAACTTGTTTTTATTTTATTTTTGTTGAGTCTTATTTCATTGGGTCTTATTTGTTTAGGCCTATTTTTATTTAGCTACTTATGTTTACATTAGACTAGTTTCAATAATATATGAAGTTAGGCCCGAATAAGCTATAAGTTTTGGGCTTAGATTCAAGCCTTCTTTATTATGTTCTAATTTATCTTCATATTTGTGTTGATTTAGGTAATTTGATTAATGAGGGGTGGCTATGCTTAATTCTAGCATTCAATGTTCCTTATAATGGTGGAGGTTATGTTCATTATGATGGAATCATCCTAATTACGTTATTATGGCAAGAGAAGGATACATAAGGGAGGTATAAGAAAAGGAATATGGTTGTCATAACGATAAAGAGGTTACATAAGGGAGGTTACAAAAGAGGCATTATTGGTGTTATTTATGAATTGTATTTTCTTTTATTTTAAAATTACCCTTGGCCATTCACTATATCAAGGCAAGGCTTTATCATTTGTGTCAACAACATTTAGAATACAATTTTATGTCTTTCGTAAAGCGAGCATTTTTTCTTTAAGTTTTTGTTTGACACTTTAGAACTTATCAAACTTTTGTTTATGGTCAAAATCCCAAACCGTGATGCCCCCACCCTAGTTCACTCTCTGTTACCCAACTAGAAGTGACCGAGCAACGCATGTCACGCTAACACATCCAATCGGACCTAAGTCTTACTATGTCTATGTCGGTACCATAACAACATATTACGGATAGAGATATGTGTAATACAAAAGTACATTATAAGAATATTCACGGTAGAAGAAATTATAAAATTTATTTATAGTACCATTCAAATATCTACAAACACCACAACACCGAATTACAATCAAATAAAATTCCCTAAATTTGGTGCCACCCCCGAGCCCTTTTGGAGATCCAACGAGCATCCTTATCGATATTACGATCACCGCTACCCGTCATACAATGCAAATAACAACGAGGTGAGCCGAAGCTCAATAAGTAGGGTGATGCACGTGATATGCAATACTACCGAGCTTCCCTATTTTTCCGATCACATTTTAATTTTGGATACCCTAGTATTAGTAAGTCCGTTTTATTCTTGATGACTACTGAATAGTCTTAGCAATCACCTATTTTCGAATAACATTAGCATTCATTCGAGTGTCGAATAACCTCGGCATTCAATCATTGTCGAATAACCTCGGCATTCAATCATTGTCAAATGACCTCGGCAACCATTCACTATCGAATAACCTCGGCATTTAATCATTTGCGAATAACCTCGGCATTCATTTAATTTCATTCCTCGGTGGTTCCCGAATAACCTCAACAATAACCTACTTCTAGCAACAAGATTATCCCTCGTTGTAGCCTTGGTGGCGGAATTATCCATAGTAATCATGCACATTTAATCCGGTTCGGTTACCAAACTTCATCTATCTCAATTTAATTATTTTCCTTATTTTAATCCACCCCCAATTGCGTATGATGCACGTGATGCTCATTCATTACATTCAATCAATCATGGATACTATACCTTACACTTTCATTCCTCCAATCCACACAGGATTTCATAATCCAACCCACACGGGATCTTTGGGCATACTTATACCCTTATCATCATGTTTCCCCCTTGTTAGAATGAAATACCGACATATGGTATTAGTTGAGTCATGGTTGTAATTATGTGTTCAAATACTTCCCTTTTCTTTTCTATAGTAACTTAAATCGTTAAGTCATTGTATTCTTGAATTACATAATTATACATATTTACACCAAGTTTCAAATATGTTAAGGTATACTTTTCTACCTTCATTTTCGATCTATTTGAGCCTAATTAATCATTCATTACATTATCTTGGTAAAAGGAATGGAAACCGAACAAGTATGGAACCAAAAGAGTTACTTTTAAGTGACCAAGTGAATTACACGGGTAGGGACACACCCATGTGAGAGGTCGTGTAACTCTCGACTTGAAGAAAAATGCATTTCTTTATTACATCGGTAAAGAGAAGCCCGTGTGGGAGGTTGGGTAACCCTTTGCCTAAAAAAAAATTAATTTATTCATTGCACGGGCAATGACACACCGTCCTTGCACGTGTGAGAGGCCGTGTAACTCTCTCGCCTCTAAGAAAAACACATTTTGTCATTACACATGCAAGGACACACCCATGTGAGAGGCCATGTAACTCTTCGACTTTAAGAAAACACATTTCTTCATTACATGAGCGAGGACACGCCCATGTGGGAGGCCGTGTAACTCTCTATCTTCAAGAAAAATACATTTTGACATTACATGGGCAAGGACACACTCGTGTGGGAGGCCGTGTAACTTGTCGCTTGAAATTTTATTCATGAAAACCCTAAAGTTTCATTTTTCTTTCCTACCTACTTTCCGTTATATATGTCCATATCAACCCCAAATTCACCCACTAGGTTTTGGTCAGCCTAAATTCCATCATTCTCATCCCTAAACATGAATTAAATGATATACAAAGAATCACTAGCGTTTGGAAAGAAACCAACACAATCAATCATTACATTCAACCATATCCATAAAATTGCAAGGCAAGTCAATTAACACCATTAATAATAACAACACATCATAAGCCAAGTAACATAACTATTTGCAACAAGTTTAACCAAGTGTATAAAGAGTAAATCAATGATATAAACATGAAATAAATGATATAAACAAGAAAAGGTAACCCACTTACTTAGATGGATTTGAGTGCAACTTTTCCTTAGTTTTTCCTTTTCTTCCTTCTTTCTTTGCATTATTTCTCTTCCTCTCAATCATGTTTTTTCTCTCTTTTAAATGAGCTACCGGTTTTCTAAACAAAACTGACTAAATTTCCTCTTTTCCCTTATATATACTACATTTTCCATCCTTATTTAGTATGCCACACATCCAAAAATCAAATTTGCCAAGTATAAAGCAAAGGAAGAGTGCGGAAGGCAAGTCGGCGTTTTTGAAAGTCAAAGGTGATGAGTTGGCTTCCAAGCATTTAATTAAAGTGCTAGGTGTCCTAACTAATTCTTAAGCTAACTAAATTCTTAAGATAGTTTTTTTTAGGTAACAAAACACCTTTTCTTTATAAATTTTCCAAAATTCTCCCTCTCAACTCGAATATTCTTTTCCCTAAAATTTTCCACCAATAATGCCTCAAGATCAACTTGTACTAAAACGATCATAACTCCATTTATATTTATCTAAAAATCATGAAAGTTTATAGAGAGATAGTAGACACTTAGATGAATAACATTTATTATTTATGTTTTATCCAAAAATCAATCTAAAGTCCTCCAATAAATCACCTAACATTTCGGACACAATTTAGTCCTTTAAACACTAATTTTGCATATTCGATTTCTTTAATAGTTAAACCATTGATCTCAAGCACAATAAATTTAATTTAACATAAATAACACATTTCAAGAATTAGTTTCTCATGGTGTAATGAGAGTGATATATGTAAAGAGATAAATATTCAACAACATGTCATTTTGTGGTTCGGGAATTTCGTGAGTGTTACAATTCTCCCCTCAAAAGAAATTTCATCCACAAAATTGACTCATACAAATAGTTCTAGGTATTTTTCTCTCATTTCTTCTCTCCGTTCTGAAGTTATCGCCTCAAGATTATGATTTTCCCATAAAACTTTAACTAAACGAATCTCCTTATTCCTTAGTTGCCTAACCTATGTATCAAAAATCCGAATCGGTCTTTCCTCATAGGTTAAGTCCGGGGTCGGGTTTGGTACTTCGTCTTCAAAATCCGACTAGGTCCTTACTATCAAATATCCTACTCGTCAATATTTAAGTTTGACATATAGGCTTTTTACTGATATTTTGGTATATGAATAAATGTATAAAACCGAATTCAATCAAGACGAAGTAAGCGAGCCAAGATTGAGACCTTATCGTAACTCGTCATTGTATCCCTCCGATCGGCCTCCTCTTTCCTTATTGTGTAAACCCGAGTGGGTACCTTTCCCGATCCTAGTTTCGGTACCTTAGGGAATTTGTGGGCTACGTGTCCTTACTGGTGACAAATATAACAAGTTCTCCGGTCCGGTCGACACTCCCTACATGGAACGTCCCACGGTTGTTGTAATAGGGTTGGTTACTCCTCACCAATCTTGGTCGCTTATTTGATAGCGACCTAAGAACGTATACTACTAGTATAACGGTTTGTACATTTCCTTGACTACCATTTTGATTAAAATGTCTAAGTGGGGATCACCTTAATGGTCCAAACGAAGAGGTTCTCGACTTAGGTGCTTGTCGCTTTTGTTGCAACTCCTTTGAAATTTCCTTCGATCTTCATCTACTATTATGGCTTTATCTACCATTTCGAGAAAGTGTTTGCGGTCGATATTCATACCATACTTTTTACATTTGGGTTTAACCCGTCTACGAATCAATTCTTTTTCAAATTTTTATCTACCGTAAGGAATGGGACGAATCTACACCCTTGTTCAAATTTTTATACATATTCGCTCATAGTGATTCCATCTTGCTTCAATTCTAGGAAGTCCTGGATTTTCTTAGCCTTACATCTGCAGTAAAGTATTTGTTGTAAAAGACTTCCTTAAATCTTTTCTAAGTTAAGGTCGGCACGTCTACAATTAGTCATGCGCTTTCCCACCATGTGCGGGCATCTTTGGTCAACATAAATATGGCACACGATACCCGCTCATTGTTGGCAAACCGTAGGTATTCAAATATTGCCTCCAAGGATTTAATCCACTCCTCGGCTATCATCGGGTTAACACTCCTAGCGAACTCTCAAGGATTCATTTTACGAAACCTTTCTACCGTATCATTTCTATGTTAAGGAGGAGGTTGTTGTTGCATAGCTAAGAGCTATCTCATTTGTTCAGCGTGGACTTGTTATTGTTGTTGCATTGCTTGTTCTTTGCTCGTTGCATCATGTCCATCATACGATTTAAAGCATCTTGTTGGTAGTGATTAGTGTCGTTGGAGGTCCCTTCACCTCCCGTCCATACTTGATACTTTCTTGGCATGTTTCGACTTTGTACATGCCATGTGATACTCAAGACAGCTTTTGGTATTCAAAACCACATATAAGGTAACTCATCCAAGTACGTGCAAAAATATAGATATATATATTAAATATGTCGCACCCAATAGGTATTTACAAGCACTTCTACCTTCTAAAAGTTGTTGTGCTATATGTTCGATCAAAAAGGTACCTATTTACATTAGGTATTCACAATGGTATTACACTACGTGTTAGAGTTACTATCTATTATGTCCAACTAACATATCGAAGTGTCATAGAAAGGAATGCTCGACCCTTCATCGATCAATAACTTCATCCAATTCACTCGCTTTACTATCTCGTGAGTGAGGGGCAATGGTAGACCCTAGTTGTATATTTACCTTTATCAACCCTTTCTAAACCTCATCGAGCAACCGTTGATCTCTCGGTAAGAGAGTTCAACATAGAGTCGATCACGATAAATCCATACTACGGTACCATGGGAGGGAAGCATCGGCGAATGTTATTCGCTAAATCGAGTCATGCACCTAAGTGACATGGATTACCATATCTTAATCCCGGGGTCATGGTCAAGGTATTTAGTTTAGCCCGGAAAATTACTAGGATGGCACGCTACTAGCGTGTGCTAGCAATGCAGGGTATGAGGAATAAATATGACATCTACAACAATAATATTGACCGGTATTCACATTGTTAGAACACATTACAATTATCTACCAACATGAAAATTGCATAATATCAAAAAGCAATTGTTACCCGTCGAGTAGCACACCAATCCTAAGGCTCAAGTGACGCTTAGGGTTCTACCAAGTTAACTAAACCATAGCTTTGATACCATCCCGTGACACCCCCACCCTAGTTCACTCTCTGTTACCCAACTAGGAGTGACCGAGCAAGGCGCATCATGCCGACACATCAAATCCGACCTAAGTCTTACTACGTCCATGTCGGTACCATAACAATATACTACATATAGAGATATGTGTAATACAAAAGTACATTACAAGAATATTCATGATAGAAGAAATTATAAAATTTATTTACAGTACCATTCAAATATTTACGGACACCCCAACATTAGAATTACAATCAAATAAAATTCACTAAAGTTGGTGTCACCCCCGAGCCCTTTTGGAGGACCCGAGCAGCGTCCTTATCGATATTACGATCACCGCTACCTATCATAGCATGTAAATAAAAATGAGATGAGCCGAAGCTCGGTAAGTAGGGTGATGCACGTGATATGCAATACTACCAAACTTCCCCATTTTTCTTATCACATTTTAATTTCGGGTACTCTAGGTATTAGCAAGTCTATTTTATTCTCGATGACTGTCGAATAGCCTCGGCAATCACCTATTGTC